AAGAAGAAAAAGATCGTACGAAGAAGGCGGAACAGGAGAAGAAGAAGAAGATACAAGAGAAACTATCAAAAGCCAAGCAGGCCCCACCATTCAATTACTTTACTTTGCGTGTGCGAAATCAACTGTAAACATACAATAGACCGAATGCATGATAGGGTTCTGGGAGTCTGGTCTGGATATCGTCTTTTGGGTGGCCGAACTCAGGCACTCAAGAAGCTCAATGACAAGATTCTGGACACCTCGGCCAAGGAGAACGACTTGCAGAAATTGATCGGGCCTTGGCCATCGCAAGCATTCTCGTACGCACAATGGATGTGTTAGATCTTCCAAGTCTCTATAGTAGTTAGCAGTGTCTCAAGCTAGACGCACATAATAAAGAGATAATCTAGCGCTAGCATAGTAGCATACAAAGGACAACATACACACCCGAACCAAACCTTGGGACAAAACCCGGGCTGGTTGGAACAAACTATTGCCTTCTAGGTTTTCCTGAAAGAAGGGCTAAGTGTTCGCACATGTACAGCTCTCTCTGAGAAAAGTGACTTCTTTCATCATTGTTCCCATCAGGGCAGCTGGGTTGCATTAGGGCTCAAAAAACAATCATGAACTCATGTGAACTCCATTTGTGAGTTTTGCCCAAAGCCATGACTGGTTTGCGCACAATTATACAATTAAAGAAACATCAAACATCATCCATCCCAAATCTGGCTTCCCGCGCTTTCTGTGGACAGAATCACAGATTTTCCTGAGGTCAGACGGAATCCGCAAAGCAGTGTCCGGGGACCTCAAGAACAATAAGACATCCCTGCTCAGATCAAGGGATGACCTCCAGTCTCTCATTGACAATGTCAAGGTCAGGTTTGTCAAGGGTTTATAGCAGTGGTCTATACTTTTTGGGGCCTTGTGTCATAGCTAGCATTTGGCCTGCCAAGCAACACTTCGAACCCTATAGGTGGATCAGCTGGATGCTGGTATCAAGGACGCTGACGCCAAGCTTACGGAGTACAAAAATTTTCTTGCTAGAAGCAACTTCAAGTAGAGTGTGGATCAAAATTGGTCTACAACCAATCTAGCCCATAGCCTGCTGTGAGAGCATGACAACCTTCTTTGACCATCCTGTCTTTTGTTGACCTGTGCAATCTGGCAGAAGGGGCTGGACAAATTATGCAATTGGGGTGCCAAACATCGCAAAGAGCGGTGATGGGAGATTGCAGGTGTTCAATCAACCACCCGGTCGGTTCTTTGGGTGGCTTGACTCTTTCAACACCATGTCTCAATCGAAAAAGGCCGTGCTGCTCAATTGCATCACTTCCAAGCAGCCAATTGGAACATTTTTGAATTGTCCAGGCTGCCCTTTTCTCTGCGGGCTGCGATCTCAAATCTGAGACTCTCCAGAACAACATTGCTGATGTGAGTGGAGGGGCCACTTAGTCACCAAACTTCCTGAAGAACATATATCAAATTCATTCAAATTCATTGCTTTCTGCATCGTGATTGGTAGATTTGACCCATTCCATCCACTCCCATGGCCCTGAATGTCCAAGGGCACCTCTGCCGGCAAAGCTGTACAAAATCTTCGAGCCCATGTGCGTGAACCTGGGCCAAGTGCACAGCAAGTAGTCTAAGAACTTGTCAAGAGGAGTGAACACGTAAGCCACACCTGGAAAACATTTTGCAACATGGGGGTGTATAGGTCCACATAAATTGGTCGTCAAACATTTCTCCCAGGATGCTGGAAAGTGTGCTCCCTCTGCATCCGCTAGTCAAAAGATTGGGGACTCTTTCTGGCAAAAATTCCTCCCGAGATTGGTGGAATCATATGTTGAAAAACATTGCGCCTTAGCAGCAGAGTGTTTTGGCCGTTTGTGTTTGAGTACTTGCTGTTGTTTGCATTTGCTGCCCTATGCTTTAGGCATCATGCCAAAGTTTATGTGATTCTTGTTTTTCCTAGATATTTTGATCTTGTTACTCTGTGCCGTGGTGACACCAATAACCTAGGATGTTCCTATCGAGTATGTCAAATTGCCGCTCCGGATAGATGACAAGATTGCTGGAAGGGCGTACTGTGATGTTCGACCCTGGCCAATGATGGATCCTCATTCTATCATTAAGTATTTGTATGCTGAGGATGGAATTGCCATACCAGCGGACGAAATTAGAAAGTTTTGGGAAGAGTCTCGTGGACATTTTGAGGAATGGGCTATTCACTCCAAGGCCACCAACCAGCACTGCCCGCTTGGAATTTTTGGAGATGGTGCGACCATCATTACAAGATACGGTCTAAAGACTTCCATCATTGGAGTGTTTCTCTCCTTGCCCTTGTGGAGACCCACCAGTGTGAGAATGTCAAGATTTCTCCTCCTCACTTTGCCAAAGAGTAAACTCTGGTCACACCACACTTTGAATGAAGCATTCAGAAGGATCGTTTGGTCATTGAATGCTCTTGACACAGGCCTGCATCCAGTTGCCGGACCATACGGTGAAGAACTCCCAGAGCACCTACAAAAGCTAGCAAACACCAAAATCACCTCTTGTCAAACCTGTTTTAGTGTGACAGAAGTCAGAGGAGACTGGAGCTGGCTGAAGAATGAGCTACTAAGATTCCGTGCCTCGTGGAACGGACGTGACACGTGCTTCCATTGTGCTGCTCGCAGTGTTGGACCTATGTCTGATCGTTACTACAACTTTGAGTCTGGAAGCTGGATTGATCGCAACTTCACCCTGTCACAGTTCATTGCAAGGCAAATGCCCAGTGAAGGTGTGAGTGCCTAGGCACGCACATGCTTCTGGTGCTTGCAGCAGGAACCATGTTGTTTGTATGGGTTTCCCGATGATTATTTTATTTGCTTGCTTAGGCAGGCCATTGAACTTATTCATGTGTTGGTTTTACTTGCAAAGGTCCAATTTTGGCTTTGAAGAACTTCCATCCAAGCTGCATAAGATGGGACTTGATGCACGTGGTCCATCTTGGGCTCTTGTATGTTACAAACGGGGCTGCTTTGCGTCTTGGCCTGAATGTGTGTCGTGCAGGAACCCACACGCTGTAAGCGCTTGTTTTTTCTGGCTTGCCCCCTTCTCTCGCTCATGAGGTGGACACTGCTGCAACTAGGTTTCTTTGCTCCTTTGGATCAGACCTTGCAGCGCCAGCTGGCAGCAGCCTACAGCGATTTTCGAGCGTTCTGTAGAGCACACCGCATCGAAACCAGCCAACCTCCTTTCACACCTGGTGTTGTGCCTTGGTCTGTGTACTGTTGGTCGCTGAAAGCATGTTTTCAAGACCAGCCTGTGTGCCACTGCCTTCGTCTGCATTTGGCTAAGTTGCTCAAGAGCAACAACGACGTGCTGCTCACATTGAAGGCATACAATGGACGATGTGCTTTGCTATGGCTAGAGGACCGGCTCAAACTAGCAGCTGGCAACCAAGAGTATGTTGATCGCGATTCACAACTTTTAATGTGCAGTGATGCCCTGCGCCTAGCATGCAACATAATTGCCAGAAAGAGGCCAACATGGAAGTCAAAAGGGTAAACAACAACATAACGTGCTGTGATAGAATGCGCGTTGGTATGTTTGCATGCACGTTCTGCACAGTTTGGCTTTCTGAGGACGGCCATGTCACGAGTGATTCACCACATTGAATCTTCACCCCGTTTCCTGTGCCATGTTTGCATAAATTGCTGTTTCCTACATTGGACCATATGATGGCTGTGAAGAATACTTTTCCATGTCAAATGAAATCGCTTAAACTACTACTAATTAGCACTACCCCCTAAGGTCGGCTCAACAGGCATCCAACATTTGGAAGGACGGCAAGCACTTCCTGAGGGTTTACATGGCCCTTTGGAGGTACAACCTCAGGCAGGTTTCACTACTGCCCTCTTCATTGTCTTAAAGTGCACTTGACTTTGCCATACTTTGTCAGACATGGTGATGCTGACCAGGAACGGCACCCATCTTTGGTTGATGCGGCCGAAAGCACATGCCCTTTGGCTAACACAAAAACATAACAAGGAAGAACTGTTTTTCAAGATTCGTTCAACCTTCCAACTTGATGTTTCTGCCATGACAGTGTTGAGGGCTTCTTTCACATCATCCGCAATTGCTATCTTCGGAGAAGCTCGGTATATCTAGATCTGCACAGCCGTCTTTCTAAGATCAATGCGCCTGAGGATCGAACCCTCGCTACCATCATGGGTTTGCTGATGAGGATGGGATGTGGTGGATCAAATGATGCTAGCCTCAATTGAGGTTGCTTTTTGTTGAAGGCATCCCTGTCATTTGCTTGAACAATATCTCAATCAACCCCAGGCGTATATTCGAAAGGTCACCCGAAGCACCGCTGTAAATGGATTACACGCTGTGGGCTTCTCAGGCCTGTAGTGTTGGATGAAATCTTTCATACGCTGCTAGCTTCACTAATCAAACCATATCAAGCCTAATCAGTAGTATGCATTTGAATGCCGTGCGTTTGAGCAGGACACTGACGGCAAAAAACCGAATGAAAGAGTTTCTTGGACTGCCCAATTAGTCATCTCAGGAGGTCTTAAAGTTGCAAAGTCGTTAGTTTGTTTGATGTCCAGAATTGGGAGGTTTTCACCTTGAAGCATCCAAACCAAGGTTGAACGAGTCCTCTCGGCGTCGTGTGATCAAGCACAGCTTGAGATGATTGGAAAAAGGGGCAAAGCTTCATTTGGGAAGTTTGAGAACTTGGCCCCTCCTGGGATGGGAGTGTCTACCACTGTCTTTCCATTAGTCTTTAGGCCAACGCCTATAAATTTTATCGTCCTTTGAATTCTAGGGTATATAACACTATACATGGCCTCATTGCTGATCGTGAAAGTGCTTGCAGAAATATATAATATACATAATAACTGTATTTGCTCTCGACATGCTGTAAGAAATTTGCCGAGTGATTGCCAGTTGATCCTTCTAGTTTTGTTTTTCTGTGAGTTTGCCAGGCACGGTATGTTCCGTTCACACTCGCCGCCGCTTTTCTCATGAGTACCTTCCGGCCACAGCGGGCGCCAGTAGTCCACTGCGACGCTGCGACGGACCCTTGGCCAAGGGGCGAAGACCCTGGCAGGATGGCAGCTTAGCAGCAGCTTCCTGCGGGTGACGGAATTTGCGGATTGAGCGGTCCGTTTGTTCTACACTCAGACTCACTAACATGGAAGTGGAGAATGGTCCCTTGGAAGACTACTTTATCCTTTACGAACAGGGGATTTTCCACTTCCAGGACTTGTGAGTCGGAGTGTACATGTTCGGGAGTGAGTGAGGCATTGGCTATTTTGATTCTGAGACACATGTGGTTAACCAAGCGTTCTACGGAAGCGGGCGCGTATCAGATGAGATAATTAGGAGCTGACATGAGCTGACTAATTGGTGCTATCGTTTGAAGGCTTGACACAGGATTCTCAGAGACGATCACCGCTTTTATCACAAAGAGATGACTCTGGGCACAACTAGAGCAACCGGAGGGAAGCACAGCGGTCGAAGATAACATGTCGCCCATGGTTCCCCCTTCAGGTTTGTGAACCCGTCCCGGCATGCTCGGGCATTCCAGAACTGAGAAGAAGAAGAAGCTGGAGGGCAGAAGCTGTCGCCCTCCTTTTGTTCGTTGGAAGCCCATAGAAACATGTTGAACATCATGGTGGAAACATGGTGAACACCACGGAGTCTGAACTTGCAGTCTCATCCATCTGAGAGACATGCCGATGAGGCCAAAGCGGCCAAGAATGAAAAGAAGCGAGAAAAGGAGACGCTCTCGAAGGGCTGGGCCCTGGGCCCCAGGATAACGGGGGGGATTGGACAGAGGATCGGACAGGACAGAAAGCCGGACAGGTGGGTAGGCACGGAAGGTGAGTTCGCTTTCAAATTTCCAGAGTTCTCAAGCTGTTGGCTCAAGAATCAATTGCCTAAGAAGCAGGGGGCTGCAGAGCCGAAGTGTTCAAAAGTTTTCCCCAGAAGTTCAAGAAAACATGGACAGGAAACCCATAGTTTTGGAGGTGAAGACCATGCTTTTTCCTGTATACTAAGAGCTTCGCAAACCGGCGTTGCCATAAGATCCATAAAGCTTGTTGCCGCTGTCCCTGTTGTTGGTCCCGATGGGGGAAGCCGGGGTCCAGGAGGGAGCAGGGGGGGATATCGAGATATATCGAGCCACAGACCAAATTCTGGGCAACGCTTTCACCGGGTCAACTATGTTTGACGGTCCGGAACCAGTAAAGAATTTACGCATTTGTCACCAGCACCAAGGGGGTCCAGGGTGTCCATTAATTAACCACTTGGGGGTCCAGGCACTTGTCAATTGTTTGGCAGATTCCAATGGATTCCGACATCACGCCGACATCGGCCAGCGCTTACCGGAGCCCCTCTCAGGAACACGCCAACCCCGCACCACTCACGCTCACGTTTATCATCCTAGACCGGGGTGCGCAGCTTTTCCCTTACCAATTCTGGGATTGCCCGTAGAAATGGCAGGAGCCTCCTGTTTGTAGCAACATGCAGCATGCACACTAGTTGTCCAAAGGCTACATTTGGCACGTTCGAAGTAAACCAATTTCTGTTCGGGGGGGGCGCCTAATTAAAGTCCGTTGTTCCAAGGGCTTCGGACGACCAAGATGTAACCATGCCGAGTGACCAGCACATATATGCATATGTATACTGGTTGAACTGCTTCTGGAATCCACCCGGTTCGGGGCTCACAACCATATAGTTTCCATCAAGCCACTGCAGTCACCGCCCTTTTCCCTTCCGTGCGCTCGCCCCATTCGAACCGTTCACCGAGGCCTCCGAAGCGGAGCTCCAGCGTGTCTCCACCAGCATCGAGGCCAGCGGGGTGGAAGAGGCAGAACTTCAGGTCCGACCGTGTAGACCATCCAAGAATCCACCAAGGCGCCCCCTGGACGGGGCGTCGAGTAGCCTCAATTGTAGCCCCTTCTTGAGGTGAAAAGGCGTGAAAAGGCCGGGGGGGGTGTCCATCTACCACCATGAAGACAGGGTTCCTCTCCATGCAGTCGGTCGGTTCCTTCGAAGAATTTTGTTGATCTGGATTCGAAACCCAAAGGCCTTGGGGTTTCAGATGGTTTCAGATTTGTGGGTCGCAGGCTGCGACCGTCAAACGCCAGGAGTTTGCTCAGAACTTTCCACCGAAGTTCCGGAATCCCACGAGGACGGTGGAACAAAGGATGGCAAAGGCATGTGTCAATCCAATTTTAGACTTTTAGATCATTGAACATCTCCTTGTTGTGGTTGTCATGGGTTGTCCATATTTTGGCAAAAACAATTGGGGATAGTTCATTGATTCCCTTATTTCAGATAACTGCGACCTTTTGACACTGGAACATCCACAAGTATCCACAAGTGTGATTGTGTGTTCGCATGGTTAAACAAAAAAAAGCACCTGCTGTTTGAAACAAACAGAGGACAAAACTTAAGTTTGAGGCCGCTCGAGACTGAGATCTCCTCCTCAAGTTCGGGGAGCAAATTCCATTGGTTTCGTTTGTTTTTTCATCGAGTTCGCTGCAGTATCAGGAGTGCCGCTCCTTACTTGGCTGCGGCATGGATCCACTTCTTGTGGCTTAGCGGCAAAAGGAAGTGTTGCTTGACTTTGCTTGAGTCTATGCAAGAAAGCCGGACCAAAAAGACTTAGATCTTCAAAACAGATGGTATGACTTTCTGTGGGTCACAAAGGGGAAACCACGCGAACACGCCTCTTCCATGTTCATATTTTTTTTAATAATAGTGATTGCAGCAATCACATCTCAGCAAAGTCTTCTTTTGGCCGCGAATCCGTTTTCTCGAGACATGGCATGGTGTGGGTCCAAGGATGGCGTTGCCTTACCTGGTGCAGGCCATGAAGAAACTTCAGGTGTCGGGGTTAGAGTTCAAGAAGCGTCAGAGCAGGTGCTGAAGAAAACCGATGTTCGATGAGTTCTTGAGTGTTTTTACTTGGCACATGCACCGCCCAACATGAGCTGTGCATGTGCTGGCACATGCGCTGATGACCGCGTGCTTTGCTACTCACCGAACGATGTCCGCGTTGCTTCGCACTTAGACTATCGCGAGTTCTATAGCGATGCCCTGAGGCTGGCGTTAGCATGATCCCAGAGAAGATCTTCTGGGCCATCCTTGGTTTCTGGGCTCACATCGTGCTTGTCAGACCCGGGCTTCAGTGCACCGAGACGACCACCCGGCCACGCCGAGGTTTCCTGGTGTGTTTCTTCGGCGGCATTTTCCCGGCCACCATCGCCGCCGCCGAGGTACCCGATTGGACTTGGAGTTCGCATCAGGGTGGTTTGTTTTGCTTAGAGTCTTAGAGGTCTTGGTTGCGGCATTTGAAAAGATTTATATAATAATTATTACAGTTTCTGCTTTGTTTAGCCTAGCCGGGCCACTGTGGAGTGATGGGACTCATTTTGGATGGGCAAATCCATGACGAGTTGCCTCGATCTGACGAATTCTGACACTTGGTTTCGACATGTTTCAACCACGAGTCAGTGATTTCATGGGACCTTTGATCACTCACTCAGCGCCCCCCCCCGTGGCAAGCCAAAGTGGTGGGCATGGGACGTCCATATTTGACCAGGCATGGAACCTATGTGGTGGTCCAGAGGCTGGCTGATTTTCATACTTTCAAGGATGGAATTGATGCTGCAGGAACCGCAGCTTTGGGCGTGCGTTTTGAGCGTGTGTATCACGGTATACCTTCCGAGCACGACTCTGAGATAGGATAGCAGGAGTCTGGCAGGAGGCAAGGCTTCCCCAACTGCGGCAGGTGTGGGATCAAAGCAAGATCCTCTTGCATGAATTCATGAAGGTCGTGGTGGGGGGCTCTCAGACTCCTGCGAGTTCCGTTTTAGGCTGCTGACTGCTGACATGGTCTTCTTTTTGGTCAGTCAAGATTCGGCAAGCTGGTTGTTCTCGGAGCTGAACGTTGGGCTGAGGATGCCACCAAAGAAGACGAGAAGGAGGAAGACAAAGACTCGAAAGCCGTATCTCTGACGTTGGGCGCCAAGCTGAGCCGTCCAGTCCGCGGCGAGTGCCACACCGAGACGAAGCACGAGAGAGCGAGAGACGAAGCTTGCCTCGAGCTGAGAAGAACATTCTCATCCGATGTCCACTCCAACTCACTAACATGGTAAGTGGAAAATGGATGTGGTATACCTGTCCCCTCCCGACTCTGGGACTGACAACTTGTGGTGATTGTCTGCCAGAAAGTCTGGACGCCCAAACTCCCAAAAGGTGTCCCATGTCCACCCAATGATGTTACAGTTGGTCACCGGTCAGATCCTGTACAGCAGTGACCCTTTTTCGGTGCTGGGACGAACAGAACCAGCTGAGACCCTTTTTCGAGCCCGAAGTTGAGCCGTCGGCGCTCAGCGCTTCGATAGCGCGATAGGCTGGCACGATAGCGCTTCGATAGCGCTCGCGAGGCCGCAGCAAGTCATCCAAAAGAAGATGAGCATCGCTTTAAGCGTCATGGACCCCGAGAAGGCCCCCAAAATGCAGATGAATGATATGTTGTGGCGTGTTCTTTGTTGGGGGCATGTGGGGCGGGGAGGGCGCAATATGTCTCCAAAGCTGTGATGTTTGGGCTTGACATGGTCAAAAGGTGTGACCAACAAATGTGGTTCTGCAAGAGTATATATATTCAATACATACTCCAGTGCTTCCCATTTCCCACGACACTTTCTTGAAAAGGTGCATGTTTTGCCATATTTGCCCACAGAGAAACAACTGCGCAGTATCGCAGACTCAGTTGTCAATCATTTGACTGTTTTTGCTTGACTGGTTTTGCCTAGAAAACATGGAAAGCTTTGATTTTGCCTAGCCCTTGAGGTTAGCAATTCCCTGGCCAGCCACCGAGTGGTTATTTGTTCATGTGCGGACTGAAAAGCGAAGACGTCGAGCGAGCTCGACTTGATGAAGGACGAGGTCAGTTATTAGTTTCTAGTGTTGCAAATTCGCCTACCTTCAAACGTGAAACCAATGGCGCTGTGTGTTTTTTGCCGCCAAACCAATGGCTGTTCCTCTGAAGGAAGTGGTACATGTGAGCAAATACTTATGTCATCAGTGACAAGAAGCTACAAGGTTTTTCAGGCCATCGCTAGTAGGTTGGAGGCCATCGCTACTAGTAACATCTATAGTTAGGGTCTGTCCTATTACCTGTAACAGTAAGTAAACAATTATCATCATGTTTGAACAAGGCCTTTACTAACCATCATCATCCACTGTTACAGGTAAGAATGGATAGACCCAATCTAGTCTATAGCAACTATATTCTCATTATATGATGTAAAGGGCACCCAGCAGTTTGGCCAATGAGACTGGGCCAAGCAGTTCTCCTCGCCCGAGTCCTGTATCTACATTTGTTGGATCGGCGTGGTGGGCGTTTTACGCTTGCAATTTGCCGGGGCACCCAGCAGGAAACGGCCGCAACCAAGGACGAAGCGAAACGGCGATATCGAAGAACGGACGTGTATACCCCTAACACCCCCCCCTCAGCAGCTATATAGATCATTACACAACAAATGCGGCGACAGAAAATAACATGTATAGTTCCACACCCCTTCACCTTAGGATTAGGAGACTTCCTTCACCTTAGGAGACGTTTGGGACGGGATCTTTCATCCGGAATCCGTGCGCTTGTTGTTGAAGGTAACACCTGTCTCGGTGGGCTGCTCAGCCCACGTGCGCTGCGCTTGCTCCGAGCATCACCGGGTGAACGGACCATCACCCCACCGAGGCTCGGACCATCACCCTCGGGGAGGCGAAGAAAGGTGGAGGGGGGGCTTTCACCAGTCCAGCCTGGCAGTGAGCTTGCCCCAAACAGACTATTTGGCAGAAGACCTATTTGAATCACCTGTTTGAATCATGAATTGGATCCTATATTGGAATCCGAATTCAATCCTGAATGTCGCGTGGGTGTTGTAAATGCTGTATTTGGCAGGTGAACCTCCTGGGAACTTGCTCTTAAAGTGTTCAAACCGCTTGAGGTCTGAACACTGGGCGTTCCTTTCCTGCGCCGAGCTTTTTGTTGCTATTGCACCCATATAGATCCATGTCTTCCCGTTGACGCCCTCCCCCCTCAAAAAACAAAAGGCACGCCGCCCCTTTTGCCGGAGACCCTCCCCCCCTTTCTGCTTCGTCTTCGGGCGTTGCTTGGCACAATTCGCGCAGGTGATCGGAGCCAAAGTTTATGAGCCGGTCCGGAAGCTGGAGCCGGCGATTGAGTCGGTGATCCCGGAGGACCCGCGGGGGCGGGGGCGGAGGATCCAGGATGGGAGCGGAGGACGGGCAGGCGACGGCCGTTCCTGTGTGGCGCGGCGGCTCTCGAGCCGCGCGGAACCCCGTGTTCGGGGCGCCCTGAGTTTTCGGCTGAACACGGATGGACAGCAGCCATTGTGGTCGTTGAGGAATGTTTATGAGTTTGGACAAGCCCTGTTTTGAGAGCAGCCTGATTCAAAATGCAGTCCTTGAACCTGGTAACTGAGCTTCTGATGTCTCTTTCTGCTAGCATGGCATTGCAAGACCATAGACCCCCCCAGAAAGTTCTATATTTAATGATCTTTTTCTAGTTGTTTGCAGCTGTGAAGGTATCCTTGCCTTACAAGTAGCTCATGTGTGTGTAGGCAGTTCGTTTATGCATTACATGCAGGTAACATTCCTTCCAGTGCAAGTCATAACTGCAACATGCTTCTTTCACATGATATTAGCCATTGATTGACCCTCCTCCCAAAGACGTCCTTCCTTCACCCCACTCATTTTCATACTATCTCCACAATATCTCCACCCTAGTCTCCACCCTTCCCACAACTCCAGGATTATCAAAAGTGGGTGCCTGTGGTGACGCGTTGGACCTGCAAAGCCCTGGCCATCTCTCTGGCTTGGCCGGCGCGCCCAGGAACCGAACCGACCCGCGCGCGGCGTCCCGCGCGGCGCCCGCGCGGTCCCGCCGCCGTCGCGCTGGTCCCAGGTGGATCCAGCGGATCATCTCGGCGGTGCACAGCGCGATCCGCGGCGGCATGATCTTTGGAGCCTACTTGGTGCGGCGGCTCTACCGGGGGGCGGTAAGCAAGGCTTGAGCCAGGCCTTGCAGGTCGAGAAAGGACATTGAGTGGACAGAGGTGCCGGGAAAGACCCTGTAACAGTCTGAAGACGCTCAAGAAACACGATGTTTGCTACTAAAGGTTCCAGAAATTGCATGTGTGTTTGAGTCATGATGTTTCTATCTTCTGCGCTTGTGGAGTTGACCTAAACGCCAGAGAGGTATGTGTTTTCCATGGCTTCGAACATCAGCCATGTGCCATTTGTGCCAGGTCGACTTCTTACGAGAGAAGGGATTCTTGGTGGTCGATCATCGAGAGACTTACATCGATGAGGCCGTCGAAGCCAAGTCGCGACGCGGATGGACGGGTCGCGTTTCCATCCGGGATGCCCTCTGCTCCGACCGTGTTATTTTTTCTTGAGAGATGGATGTGTGATGAAGAAGAGATCTGAACAAAAGGCACTTGAATTGAGGTACCTAATGTTTTTGTCTCAGTGTGTTGATGGTTTGTTTTCCAGTTGTTTTTCTTCATCTGTCGTGTTTCACCGGGTTTTGTGAGGCCATTGGCTGGTCCATTGCCGTCTTGGGATTCCTGATGCAACTCGCTATGGGGTGTGGGTCCCAAGATGAGAGGTGTTCTTCGCGCTTCATCAGGTGTTCTTCGCGCCCCCCAAAAGGTATGGCTAATTATAGAAGATGAAGACCAGATGGTACAGCTATAGATGAAGGGATAGGTACAAAAGGTGATTCTATATCATGTTGTAGCTATGCGGAGGTAGTATAGGTGTCACTATCGAAGATGTGCATATGCTGCATGTAGCTCTGGAGACATCGTCACCAAGGAGACACTCCACCAGAGATTTGAAACAAATTGTGGCTGTAACATAGTGTAACGCTAAACCAAATGAATGACATGTAGACTACCAGGATTTACATGGATTTACAGTACTGTCGATCCATACACACATGTCCTGCACTATAGATTGATGGTGAGCGTCGAGCGTCATTAATATCGTTAAGATGATTTAAGTAATTGGTTTCAAAGGTGATATACCAGAGAGGATTGGTTTCAATCGTGATACACCAGAGAGAACTTTTTGTGAACGTATCCCTTTCTTGCCAAGGGAAGCCACAGCTTATGCCATCAGCTTATGTCATCCACCCCACCAATTTGTCACGGCATATTCGATCATAAGTGTTGCAGACCACTCACCTCTTGCATTTGGAGATCCCCTTCGTTCCGCTTTTTCGATCCCCGTTCTCCGCCGTCCGCTCGTCCGTGCCGCCGTCCGCTCGTCCGAGGTTCCAATTGCCCTTCCTCTTCAACCTCGTTCTGTGGCCCATCCAACTGGTCGAGGCCTTCATCGTTTCTGGGCGGAAACGGAGACCTGCCGGTCTGTCGATGCGCGGAGGGCGGGTTCCACGTTTTGTGTCTGTCTGGGTGGTGAGGCAGACAGAAGGCCTTTTGCCTTGCTTGAAGACATGGGAAGACGATGGAAGACGAGTTTGTTTGAGGCCCAAACACGCTTTTCCACTCAATGATCATGAGGAAATGCCTTCTTTGGGTTGTTTTTTGTCACAAACTGAGATGACAGGTATTGTGTCGAAGATGATCCTGTTGCATCCTGTTATTACTAAGGTTTGGACAGTGAGCGCATGAGTTTTGAAATTCCTCAGCCTGCGGCCTGCTCCATGTGGTATCTGGCTGGTTTCACGTGCTTTGCTGAGTGAACTGTTTCTCACTGAGTGGTGGGTCCTAGTGGAGTTATTCGACAAGTGTGAGGTTTGGGGTGGGACTGGCAGTTGGCTGCTGGCTGCTAGAACAGTTAGATCAGGAGATCAGAAACTTAGGGGCCTTCTTTTGCAAGAGGGCACGGACCAGCTTGCAACACCGAAAACTTGCAAGATCATCTTGAGGTGTTGTCAGTTTGTTGGTTCTTAAGACCATGTTGACCTTGGTGGTGTAGGTTTGGTCACCGGTCGATGTCACACTACCGTGTTGCGGCAGATGTTTCACTGCAGATGTTTACCGTGCACGGCTGCCGTGTCGACCGACTTGCAAAAAAGAATGTGCAGGCTCAGCCCACGTGTCGGCTCGGCTGTGCCGAGTTCAGAAGCTGTTTATGTTTCATTGAAGGCTTCGGAAGAAAAGAAGGAGATAGACGGAGTGAGTTTTGGCACAGGTATGGAACAATGAAAGGTATTGATGAACTTTTCTTGATCTCTCTATCCTGACAGTCTGGCATTTGGTGGTTTGGTGGATGCCAGCCATGCCAAGTTCTGCGCGAAGGAGCATTGTCCAATTCAAGTCTTCAGAGCAGTCCATCATTTGTTCATCAACACGGTGGGACAGGATGGCTGGAAGAAGATGATTGAAGTCGCAGTGTTCAAAAACCTTAAGCACATCACGACCCCCCCGGTTTGATGCTTCTTGTCTTCTGAATGGTTAGGTCTTACAATCCGTCATTTTGCCGTGCTATTCCATCCCCAACCTTTTGAGGCTAGTCAGGACACATGTTTCCATATGTTTCCTTGGTATGCTGAGTCTGGTTCCGGCTCAACCGATGTATTAATACATTGTTGGTGACCCTTCCATCTCGGCTACCTCTCGCCAACTCTCACTGGCTGCCGATTTAGCCTTCGATCCCGGTCTTTGTTGGGCTCTGAGAAGGGGTGCCGCTCCTGACCGTCCTGCGCTTGGGCGGGCGGGCGCTGTCTCCTGCAGGTGAGATTTGGATGGGCGATGGGCAGGTGTTGGGATCAGTGTTCCCCGTGAATGTGGAAGGTGCGAGGGAGTTCGGCGCATGGCCACTAATTCGCTGCTGTTAGATTGGATTTCCTGCTGGGGTTTGTCGCAAGTTGTAGTCCGAAGGTATGTGCGTATATGTTGAATAGTTGTCCTGCTACTGTACTTGCCAGCACAAACAAAACTGAGACATTGGTGTGTGTATATATATATACACATATTGATATCAAGGCTTTTGCGAGCCTCTAGGGGGATTCTCAAGTTGTCTCCCTTTTTTGAAGATAACCTAGTTTGCCCACGGCCCTGACAATGTCAACCTGAATTCATCAAGCGGATCCTTGTTGGGTTGACTTAATGGCCGGACGTGGCACGTTCGCTCTAACATGCATGGAACTATCGTGTGGTGACCACACCACGAACTAATGGCCATGGAGGAGGTACCCTTTAGTGCGCAAAAAAGAAAACACTCGAGCAATGAGTATGTGTACGATTTGGTTGCTGCCACCCGAAGGAAGGCCTAAGGCCTTCCTTGTACCCGAAAAGAATCCAATTACTGCAGTAGTGAGGAAAACCGGCAGGAAAACATGCTCCGAACTCAACGTTTCCACGATCTGAAATTAGATGCCGATCTGTATTTAGGAGAAGTTTCTGGTCCTTTAAAAGACAATAGTCGAATCATTCAATCGTGTGTATATACAGAGACCCGGACTCATCACATGTCATAGTTTTGCTATGTTTTAGTATTGCGATTGAAAAACCTGGGATTTCATTTGACCTTTTGTTTCCAAGAAATGCCCAGAAGTGACGTGGTTTGATGTAGACGTGCTTTTCTTTGGTGTGGCGTGAGAAGTGTTGGGGTAGGTGTGTTTGTGACACTAGTAAGCTGCTGAAGTGGGAGTACCATGGACTTGCCAGGTGGCCTCCAACTGCGACGCAGCCGTACCAGAAAAAACATGTGGTTCGAGTGCTTGAATCCTTGAAGTGCTTTCTCCGACAATGAATTATTTTCGGCTGAGCTTGTGCAACTTGTGGCTAAAAAGCTTGGCTTGTTATCCCATGGTGTTTCAATGTGTTTCAGATCTTTCATGTTTGATGAGTTTTCACTATCATGTCATATTACCTGTGTGAACACTAGTGGCATCTAGTGACCATCAAAAAATATTGACGATGTTTGTTTTTTGAGGCTTTCGCCAGTGTTTCGCAGGCGCCGAAAACATCCGCTGCCAAGTTGGCCCAGTAAATTCACTGGGTCCGGAGCTCCCGTGCCGAAAGAGGGTCGGTGGTCGGGTCGAGTTGCTATGGCGCTGCTGTTCCTCACCTTTTGGCTCCTCCAAGGGTACGAACTTTTGTCTTCAGCAGACCATGCCGACTCGCTGAACCAGTCGTGTGAGGAGGTCAGGTGACCCAATGCTTTTAAAAAACCCGCCAGAACGACATTGGACAAAAACGTCTGACACACAGACAGTAAAGAGCCAGGTATGCATCTTTCGGTCCATGAGAAAATATGACGTATGAGAAATGAGGGCTCCACTGAAGAACGTGAGAATGTTTATTTCTCTTTTTTCATGGTGCTTGTCAATAGACCCTCTAGCCACAGAGTTGTTATATTGTGGCAAAATGTTTGGTACTGACGGGCCATTGAAAGTATTTTGTGCTTCAGCCAAAAATTAACCGAAAAGGATTATACAGTGAAAGTCAAGCAAAACGGCCAGCATGTTTGGAGAGTCCAAATCAGACTCGTTTGGATCAACTGCCTTCCTTTAGATTTTTTTCAGGAGGCCTCATTCATACAGCTGGACAAAGCCGACACTGATACCCGTGAGAGCGCTTGGCTGCTGGGCAAGCCAGGCGTTTTACAGGGCGGGCTGAGGGCTGCGCCGTGAACAGGGCGGTTCAGTTTCTTCGGTGTCCCGCAGATCTGAACGGCTTGAAAGGAGGTATGGGACAAATATGATGCAAAGTTTGGAACATGTCCACCACATAGGAGGAAATAAACTAAACGATTTTTTGGAGTGCCGAAATGCATTTGCCTCATAGATGTGAATAAAACTCCACAGGAATGCCGTTTTCCTACACTGTGTCAGGACTGTTCTTGCCTATATAGATATATATATATATATGAATTATATGATGTGTGTGTATTTTTGTTTTCTACTTCCTGTTTCTCCACTTGAAACACAGCTGGTCCAGCTGGCAAATACAGGGACTAATCAGGGATCATTGATCAATGCACTGATTTCTTGTTCTATTTCAATCCATCCGCCGAAACTAGACCTTGAGACAATTTCCTGGGTCTTCAACAGGTCGACGTGTCAACGTGTTGGGCATACAGTTATGGATTGGGACTTCATGTTCCGATAGAACATGCAGCGCCATGTGATTCAGAGTGCAGTTCTGCATGGTCTGACTCGGCAGACACATTGTTGGTATAACATTTGTTCGGGCACCTCTTTCTATATGTTTACATTGTGGTCTTTTCCACTTTTTATATAAACATTCATATTTCACCGTTGAGGGGTTTGTTTCACCATTCGTTTCTGGGGGTTCTGCTGCTTTGATGCGGTTACGTTGCAAAATTGTCTTGTTTGCAGCGCGTGTGGTCATTTGACCTTGGAGTTGGCATGTTTCTTTCCTTGAATTTGATGTGGTTGTGTTGCAAAGTTGTGTTGTTTACCGTGGTATGTTTGAACCTTAGAGTTCCTGCGTGCGCCTTGAATGGTTTGCTCTAATTGCACATGTCTGTTTGTATAACCGATGATGTCTCTTTTCCAACCTTGTTGGCTGCTATTGTTGATGGTTCCGCTGCTTTGATGTTGCGCGGCAAATTTGCATGATTTTGTTTGACTTTGGCCCGTTTGTTTTTTTTTCCAAGTTTGGGATGTTCATGTTGTAGCCGCGTTGATTGTTTAGTTGTTTTGCTTCTTCGATGTTTGTTTTGCATGTTGCTTTAGCAACACGTGGTTGAAGAGCTTCAGCAATCGTGATGCGCAAAACAGAAGAGAACAGACTCTGCTGTCGCGACGACGGAGCAACCAACGGTGCTCTTAACTGTCTATCAACAACTATGCCTGAGTTCTCATTCCTGAAGAGTAAAGGTGTCTTTTGGAGGCAGATAGTCTTAGTGCCTTCGTGGGCCTTCGTGGTGGGTCTTGTGTGTTGTTCTTTCTTTTAGTATTTTCTTTGGATTCAATTCATCACCGGTTTGGCTGTTGTCACCTTCGCCAGGAGAGTCTTGCACCGAGACCTGTATCTTTGGCAGCAAATGCAACGTCGCGAAATTGAAAAATACGCGTGGCAAGGACTTGCTGCAAGTAGCTCGGGATCTTGGACTACAGCCGTCTGCGCAGAGTCCCTTGACTGACCGCAGATCGGTGTCCAGTCCCGAATTCCTTCGTACGGGCCCGTACGCTGGTACTGTGTTTCAGGCCGATCCTAATTTCCCCGTGCAGAGCTGCGAGGCGAAAACGGCCAATTACGAACGCTTTTGCTATTGCGTAAAGAAGCCGAAGAATTGCTGCACAAAGAAGGAACAGAGGAGATGCAAAAAGAACAGGTAGACCATGGTCAAGGACTGAATTCGGGTCGGGAGAAACGCACCGTGTGCTTCAACAGTTGACGTTTGTTCGAAAGGAAGTGAGATTGGTGAGGTTTGTATAGGTGGAAACTGAGATCTGTGAGTTGCAGCTTCAAGACCCCATTACCTTCGTAGGCAGGCATCCCAGGTCATGCGGATTTCAAGTGAGAAGAGGAAACCTTGTCGCATAAGGAGGCCAGACCTTGCTTTGAAAAATGTGTCAGCCAGCGACTAGGCTTGTGCCATACCTGCACTGCTTTGTGTTTGTTCCTTTGAGACCGTTCATTCGTCGTCCTTTGGGGAAGTCATTGGGATTGGAAAGACTGGCCTCAAGTGTTGCAGATGATTTGCCGTGGTTCAGGCGGTTGAAATATGTTGAAATGAGGTGTTCCCACTTTTTTCTGCAGGTGCTGCGCACAAATCCAGCCATGCTTCTGATTAGTTCATCTGCTTGTTTGTGAAAATCCAATGTAACGGACAGTGAAGTGCAGTGAACGGAATTCCAACTGATCAGCTGTCTCTTGACTTCGAAAAGGCTCGTTCCTGGCCTGTTCCTGTAGGCTCGTTCAACCCTGCGTGTTCGGCCTGTGCGGAGGAACGATAGTTCATGTTCAATTGGCAGTGTCGGGGGAATCAGCCAGGAGTTTCAAAGGGATGCTTACAATGGAGGTTACGGGTGCCCATTACCCAATCACTTAGGGACTAAACAGCACCCGTTTCCCCTGGAAGATGTTCAACCTCGAACTCATCGTGACTCTCATGGACCACTTCGATTGAGTAGAGACAATTGCTCGCAAAAAAGACACACGCAATTGGCATGGCATTTGCGTTTTCGTAGGAATCCCCACGTAGGCTCCACTTAAGAGAAACCTTCCTGTGGCAATTTGTTGTGAGCTGGATCGCGGATGTTCATTGTGGCGGGGCCGCGGCTGTGAATCCGATAATGGGAAGCTCGAGCAGTCAAAAGATCTCCAAGCGCAAAGCCACTCTGGTTTGCAGGACTTGTGCTGCTGCATACAAAGTGCGGTTGAAGCGCAAGTTTGATCAGTTGGGAGCCCCAGGATGACCCAGCTGGCCCCAGTTGGTCCCAGTCCCAGTAGTACTCTAGTAGTCAGACAAGTCTTTGAATGAAACAGATGATCCTTTTAAACTCTCAGATTGTTGTACGTAGTGCTTGTCTTTATGTTTGACACTCTGTCAGAAAGACCAGAAAGCAGCCATGTTGTACGTAGTGCTTGTCTTTATGTTTGACACTCTGTCAAAAAGACCAGAAAGCAGCCAGAATTGGTCGAAAGAAAGGTGCTCGACCTCAGTTGCTCCCGTGGATGCTTGATCTTATGTTTAACTAATTCTGAACATAAGTTGGTTATATAACTATATACTGTATATATAATATTATATTTATAAATAGATAGATATAGATGCAACTGTTGTACCCGAACATACCCGACCTGCTTTGGCTGGTTTCATGTGCTTTGCTGAGTGAACTGTTTCTCACTGAGTGGTGGGTCCTAGTGGAGTTATTCGACAAGTGTGAGGTTTGGGGTGGGACTGGCAGTTGGCTGCTGGCTGCTAGAACAGTTCGATCAGGAGATCTGAAACTTAGGGGCCTTGTTTTGCAAGAGGGCGCGGACCAGCTTGCAACACCGAAAACTTGCAAGATCATCTTGAGGTGTTGTCAGTTTGTTGGTTCTTAAGACCATTTTGACCTTGGTGGTGTAGGTTTGGTCGCCGGTCGATGTCACACTACCGTGTTGCGGCAGATGTTTCACTGCAGATGTTTACCGTGCACGCACAGCTGCTGTGTCGACCGACTTGACAAAGAACGTGCAGGCTGTGCCGAGTTCAGAAGCTGTTTTGAATTAAAGGCTTCGGAAGAAAAGAAGATCCTGACTCCTGACAGTCTGGCAGCCATGGTGGGTTGGTGGATGCCAGACGTGCCAAGTTTGACCGATCCCGGAATTGGGCTCTGAGAAGGGGTGCTAAACTTGGCTCCTGAGGCACTGCCTGCGCTTTGCTCTTTGAGGTGAGAGGATGAGCGATGGGCAGGTCCGGGCCGGTGTTGGGAGTTTTCGTGTTCCCCGTGAAGGTGAAACCTGCAAGGTGCACGGCCACAAGAGTTTGTCGCAAGATGTCACAAGTTGTAGTCCGAAGGTCTGTGAATATGTTTAATATGTTCCTGCTACTTGCTAGCACAAACGCGACTAAGACATTGGTACATGCCTACAACCTCCATGTCGCAGAAAACACGAATAAAGGTTTGTTGATGAACACATGGTAACAAAGCTTGTTTTTTTGCTTTCGAAGACGGCCAGGCAGGAAATGAAAAGTGGTTAAGCAGGAAATGAAAAGTGGTTTATTCATTCATGGTCCAATTTTCTCTCCGGGTAATTCCGCGACAATTCCGGGTATTTCCGCTACAATTCCGAGAAATCATGCTACATGTGTTTCCCCCGAACTGGGGTCAAAGGTGCAATTCCACACTTTTTGTGTCTGGATCAACTATGGCAACTGAACTAGCCTGCTACGTCTCAAGTAGAACATGCACTCTTGCAAATGTGCATATGGCGACGCATTTTCATCTGTCTTCCGAGCCCCAAGCGGCTACATGAGTATACTCATGACATGATGCGCTTCGAAAGTATGGAGGGACACCCCAAACACTCCAAATTCCAAAAAAAAGTAACCTCCGCCCCCAAAAAGGGAACAACATTGACAAAAATAGTGTGTTTTTCCACTTGTTTTTCTTTTGTGGTACTGTCGAAGCGCTAGGTTTTTGCTAGTAAAAGCTTGTATTGAAATGAAGGTTTCTGCGAGCCTCTAGGGGGTCTCTAGTTGCATCCTATGTTGAAGATATGACAAGATATATAACCCAGTTTGCCCACGGCCCTGACAATGTCAACCTGAATTCATCAAGCGGATCCTTGTTGGGTTGACTTAATGGCCACGCAGGATCAGGTGATACACAGGACGTGGCACGTTCGCTCCAACATGCATGGAACTATCGTGTGGTGACCACACCATGAGGCACGATGAGGCACAATGGCCACGCAAGGCACAATGGAGGTAGCGTGCACACATCGGGGTACTGTATTTAGGAGAAGTTCCTGCGTCGAATCTTCTATCGTGTGTCTTTGTAACCCGGACTCATCACATGTCATAGTTTTGCTATGCTTTAGTATTGCGATTGAAAAACCTGGGATTTTATTTGACCTTTTGTTTCCAAGAAATGCCCAGAAGTGGTTTGATGTAGACGTGCTTTTCTTTGGTGTGGCGTGAGAAGTGTTGGGGTAGGTGTGTTTGTGACACTAGCAAGCTGCTGAAGTGGGAGTACCATGGACTTGCCAGGTGGCCTCCAACTGCGACGCAGCCGTACCAGCAAAAACATGTGGTTCGAGTGCTTGAATCCTTGAAGTGCTTTCTCCGACAATGAATTATTTTCGGCTGAGCTTGTGCACTTGTGGCTAAAAAGCTTGGCTTGTTATCCCATGGTGTTTCAATGTGTTTCAGATCTTTCATGTTTGATGAGTTTTCACTATCATGTCATATTACCTGTGTGAACACTAGTGGCATCTAGTGACCATCAAAAAATATTGACGATGTTTGTTACTGTTTTTGAGGCTTTCGCCAGTGTTTCGCAGGCGCCGAAAACATCCGCTGCCAAGTTGGCCCAGTAAATTCATTGGGTCCGGAGCTTCCGCGCCGAAAGAGGGTCGTCGGTGGTGGGGTCGAGTTGCTATGGCGCTGCTGTTCCTCACCTTTTGGCTCCTCCAAGGGTACGAACTTTTGTCTTCAGCAGACCATGCCGACTCGCTGAACCAGTCGTGTGAGGAGGTCAGGTGACCCAATGCATTTAAAAAACCCGCCAGAACGACATTGGACAAAAACGTCTGACACACAGACAGTAAAGAGCCCGGTATGCATCTTTCGGTCCATGAGAAAATATGACGTATGAGAAATGAGGGCTCCACTGAAGAACGTGAGAATGTTTATTTATCTTTTTTCATGGTGCTTATTTCTCTTTTTTCATGGTGCTTGTCAATAGACCCTGCCACAGAGTTGTTATATTGTGGCAAAACGTTTGGTACTCACGGGCCATTGAAAGTATTTCGTGCTTCAGCCAAAATTCACCGAAAAGGATGACAGAAAGTCAAGCAACACGGCCAGCGCGTTTGGAGAGTCCAAATCAGACGCGTTTAGATCAACTGCCTTCCTTTAGATTTTTTTCAGGAGGCCTCATTCATTCAGCTGGGCAAGCCAGGCGTGCAAGGGCTCGTTTGCATTTCCCATGTCAAAGGGAGGCCTCATAGATGTGAATAAAACTCCACAGGAATGGCGTTTTCCTGCATTGTGTCCGGACTTTTCTTTCCTATATATACAGTGTTATATATATATATAATGTTTTTTTTAAACGTCCTTTTTTCTCCACTTGAAACACAGCTGGTCCAGCTGGCAATTACAGGGACTAATCAGGGATTTTCTTGTTCCATTTCAATCCATCCTCCGGACCTTGAGACAATTTCCTGGGTCTTCAGCAGGTCGACGTGTCAACGTGTTGGGCATATAGTTACGGATTGGGACTTCATGTTCCGATAGAACATGCAGCGCCATGTGATTCAGAGTGCAGTTCTGCATGGTTTGACTCGGCAGACACATTGTTGGTATAACATCTGTTCGGGCACCTCTTTCTATATGTTTACATTGTGGTCTTTTCCACTTTTTATATAAACATTCATATTTCACCGTTGAGGGGGTTTGTGTCACCATTCGTTTCTGGGGTTCGGCTGCTTTGATGCTGTTGTGTGTCGTTTGACCTTGGAGTTGGTATTTAAACTTACCTTGAATGTGATGTGGTTGTGTTGCAAAATTGTGTTGCTTACTGAGTGCCATGGTTCCGCTGCTTTGATGTTGCCTGGCAAATTCGCATGATTGTTTTTACTCAGGCCCTTTTTTTCCAAGTTTGGGATGTTCATGTTATCGCCTCGTTAATTGTTTTACTCTTTGACCACTCGGCTCGAGCGTTTTGGCGTTCAGTCAGTACATACTTGCGTTTCAAAAACTTGCGTTCTGAACGCAGCGTACCGAGCGAATCCTTTTTGTTCAGGAGACCCTCACTGGTATTCTGCAATATTCTGTACAGTTTGCATGAGGCCCTCATTTGGTACATCGTTGCGCTGGTGCGCAGCACAGCTTTCCAGCATGTACCAACCACCACCCATGGCAATTGCTGACCAGTACCCAGATTCCTTTTTTCACCCTCGCAAAAATGGATTCCAAGATTTCGGGCCCACTCTGCTAATCCTTTTTCCAAGGGAATAAAAAAAGGAACCTAGATGGACCTTGCCCAAGCCTATTTTTACAAATACTTAGAAAACTTGTTTTTCTTGGCAGTGGGGGTCATGGGACAACAGAGTTGTCAAACAAATACATCAAACTCACAACACAGCACAGCGAACCAACAGTGAGCAGCAGCAAGAGAAATACATACATCAACGAAGAACAAAAACAAGGACAACAATGACCAGAAGCGATCACCAACAGCACGACAAAGACAACACAGAAACAAACAGACTTGGTGCCAGAACAAACGTCTAGGCATTGTGTCAATTTGCAGGGCGGGTCACACTAGTCATTAATACATGTGCCCTGCCTTCCAAATCGCATCGACTTTTGCCCGAAAGGCGACCTCCCAAAGATTAAAAGTATGGTTCATGAACTTTTTGCGTGGTGTGCGCAAAAGCGAATTTCCACTGTCAACTCAAGCGAGCGAGCGAGCGAGCGAGGGAGCGAGCGAAGAAAGAAACAAGCAGCAACAACAACAGCAGCAGCAGCAGCAACCACAAAACAACCTACCAAAAAAACAACAAACAACGAAAGAAAGATACAAACCAAACAACAAACAACACGGAGCCATAAAAAGAGCGCAAGGATCCTCGGTAGATGGGGATTTACACTCCCTTGGAGCCAGAACATCCAATTTCACTTCGAGTGATTCCTACCCAAAGTGGTTTGGAAGGCAGGGCACATGTAGGGCACATGACTAGTGTGACCCGCCCTGGGGATTGACACAAGACGGTCTACGTTTGTTCTGACATCAAGTCTGTTTGTTTGTTTGTTTTCTTTGTCGTGCGGTTGGTGATTGTTTCTTGTCATTGTTGTTCTTGTTTTTGTTTTTTTTGATGTATGGATTTCTCTTGCTGCTGCTCACTGTATGTTCGTTGTGCTTTGTTGTGAGTTTGATGTATTTGTTTGACAACTCTGTTGTCCCATGACCCCCGCTGCTAAGAAAAACATAGAAAAGCCAAGAAAAGGATCCCCAGATGAGAGCCCCTGTGCGTTCAGGACTCACCTTCAAAACATGGCCTTTCGCGTTCGGCAGGCGAAGTGTTCTATAAGGGTTTAGTTGTTGTTGTTTTTTCCGATGTTTTTTTGCATTTTGCTTTAACAACAAGTGGTTGAGGAACTTCAGCACTCGTGATGCGCAGCACAACAGAAGAGAACAGACTCTACAAGCGACGAAGGGAACCACTAGGTCTTCTTAGTTGTATATCAAAAACTATAGCTACCTGAGTTCTCATTCCTGAAGAGTATATACAGGTGTTTTCTTGGAGGCGGATGGTCTCAGTGCCTTCGTGGGCCTTTCATGGTGGGGGGTCTTATGTGTTGTTCTTTCGTTTAGTGTTTGCCAGGGATTCAAAGTATCACCGGGGTGGCTTGGCTGTTGTCACCTTCGCCAGGAGAGTCTTGCACCGAGACCTGTATCTTTGGCAGCAAATGCAAGGTCGAAAAATTGATGAACACACGTGGCGCCGACTTGCTTCAAGTGGCCCGGGATCTTGGACTACGGCCCATTGCGCTCAGTCCTTTCAACTCGGCAGATCCGGCCAGTCCCGACTTCTTTCGTTATGGGGACAGCAACGATGGTGAGCTGTTTCAGGCCGATCCCAATTTCCCCGTGCAGAGCTGCGATGCGAAAGGGCCCTACGAACGCTTGTGCTTTTGCGTGAAGAAGCCGACGAATTGCTGCACAAAGAAGCAACAGAGGAAATGCAAAAGGAACAGGTAGACCACGGTCGATCCAGTAGAGAGGACAGATGTTCGGGTCGGGAGAAGCGCATCGTATGCTGAAATACAGAGTAACGTACATAGGAAGTAAGATTGGCAGGTATACGTGGAAAATCTTGTGAGTTGCAGCTTCAAGACCCCATTACCTTCGTAGGCAGGCATCCCAGGTCATGCGGATTTCAAGTGAGAAGAGGAAACCTTGTCGCATCAGGAGGCCAGACCTTGCTGTGAAAAATGTGTCAGCCAGCGACTAGGCTTGTGCCATACCTGCACTGCTTTGTGTTTGTTCCTTTGAGACCGTTCATTCGTCGTCCTTTGGGGAAGTCATTGGGATTGGAAAGACTGGCCTCAAGTGTTGCAGATGATTTGCCGTGGTTCAGGCGGTTGAAGTATGTTGAAATGAGGTGTTCCCACGTTTTCTAAAGTGTGGGAATCCATTGAGTAGTTTTTTCAGATGCTGGAAAGAAGATGAAGAGGGAACTCCTTCAATGCTGCGTAGGCAGCTGTTCTGATACTCGTGGGTTGGATAGGCTTGGGTAGGCTGTAGGCTGTAGGCTGAGGCACTTACAGAAGTTGTTTGCGTAGGGTTGTTGTGTAGGTGTTTTTGGAGTGCATGTTCTTGAGAAGACCTTGTCCAAAGCAAGTTGGGTTGCTAGTAAGTAGGCCACCTCCCTTGAAACCAGAGTAGAGTAGAGATCATGAATGATGCGCCAGGCCAGTCACTAGGCCGGCCCATGGACCACACACAGGGAGCAAGGTGAAAGCTGCAGGTGCTGCGCACAAATCCAGCCATGCTTCTGATAAGTTCAAATGCTTGTCACGAAAGCTAGCTGTAGCTAGCTGGAGTCTGTCTTGCTTTAGCAAGGAGGGTGGGAACCCAGGACCTGAGTGCTAACGCCTGATATATCAGAGTTAGACCCCCCCCCCCCCCCCTCTCCTCTCCTCTCCTCTGCTCCTCTCTGCTCCTCCCCTTCCCCCCGCGCGGGTTGAACTCCACCCTTCACCCCCGGACCGGTTCTCAGTTCCCAACGTGCTGTTGCTGTTCTTTGTCGCTGCTGCTGCTGCTGCTCCTGTTTGTATGTTTCTTAGTTGCTGCTCTTTTGCTGCTGTTGCTGCTGTTGCTTGGTGGTTTGCTACCACTGCTGCTGCTTGGTAGCTGCTGCTTGGTGGTTTGCTGCTGCTGCTGCTGCTGCTTGGTAGTTGCTCCTGCTGCTGCTGCTGCTGCTTGGTAGCTGCTGCTTCTGCTTGGTAGCTGCTGCTTGTGCTTGGTAGCTGCTCCTTCTGCTTGGTAGCTGCTGCTGCTTGGTAGCTTGGTAGTTGCTGCTGCTTGGTAGCTTGGTAGCTGCTGCTGCTTGGTAGCTTCGTAGCTGCTGCTGCTTGGTAGCTTGGTAGCTGCTGCTGCTGCTGCTAGCTGCCTGCTGCTGCTTGCTTGCTGCTGGCTGCCTGCTGCTGCTGGCTGCTGGCTGCTTGCTGCTGCTGCTGGCTGCTTGCTGCTGGCTGCTGCTTGGTAGCAGCTGCTGCTTGCTTGCTGCTGCTGCTGCTGCTTCTGCTTGGTGCTGTACCTGCTGCTTCTGCTTGGTACTGTACCTGCTGCTTCTGCTTGGTACTGTACCTGCTGCTTCTGCTTGGTACTGTGCCTGCTGCTTCTGCTTCGTACTGTGCTGCTGCTGCTGCTGCTGCTGCTGGCTGCTGCTGGCTGCTTGCTGCTGCTTCCTGCTGGCTGCTAGCTGCTGCTGGCTGCTTGCTGCTGCCTGCTTGCTGCTTGGTAGCTGCTGCTTGGTAGCTGCTGCTGCTGTAGCTGCTGCCGCTGCTGCTGCTGCTGCTGCTAGTGCTTGGTGGCTGCTGCTGCTGCTTGGTAGCTGCTGCTTGGTAGCTGCTCCTGCTGCTGCTTGGTAGCAGCTGCTGCTGTAGCTGCTGCCGCTGCTGCTGCCGCTGCTGCCGCTGCCGCCGCTGCTGCTGCCGCCGCCGCCGCTGCTGCTGCTGCTGCTACTGCTTGGTGGCTGCTGCTGCTGCTTGGTGGCTGCTGCTGCTGCTTG